GAATTGTTATTATCCTTCATTATTCTTATCTTGTGGGAGATAAAGAAAGAGATATATCATCGTATTTTTTCAACTACGGTGAATTTGCAAGGAAGTGATATCAAGAAGGATTTTATCAGAATATGTAATCTCTTCAAACGAGTTAGCACCTTGGATATGATATGTCTTATCTAATAGTGTTTGTTTAGGAATTATTTTCTATCTTTATGTAGTTATTCATTTTAGGACTCTTTGTGACTTCTATAAATAATTGTAGATTTATTCGTTGTAAGGGCCCAGCACCCTCAAAATCTTTATATTATTTTGTTTGCTTTCTCAAGCTCTTTCCCAAAATAGCATCCTTACTATTTCTTTTTCTCCCTATCTGTATCTATCTCAAATCACAATCTTCGGTACTCGGGGGGCAACCGATGGCCAATCAGCAAGAAAGTTGGCCAGAATTTAAGCAGAGGATGAAAACACTAATGGCTCAAATACAATGCCCACCAGTTATGCCAATTCCCCCTCAAAGAAAATAGCAAGAAATGAGGGGATTGATCAAGAGATTAAAGAATTGATAGCTCAACTTATCTAGGCTGAGGTAGCTCAAGGGCGTAAACGTGCTCAGCCTATGTACAGGAAACCTTATTCTGACCAAGTGGTAAATCATCATGTCACCCCTGTATCACAACCTCTGTTACATGAGGGGCTGTTGATAACCAGTACTGAAATTGGCCAGTCTTGCCGATCTCGGCAGGAAATTTTACCAGAAAATTGGCAGCAAAGTTTGCCAGAATATTATCAGTTACCGACTACCAATTATTGGCAAGTTTCAGCAGCCGATTATAGGCAGGCGGTAAATCAGTCACAACAGATGACTTATCAACAACAAAGTTGGAAAAGCTATCAGCATGTTACTGATGAATGGAAGGGTACAAATCGGCTGAAAGCAAAATGGCCTATGTATCAAAATTCTTTGCCGATTGTGACATCTAATAATCGGCAACAACAATCATTGGCTGAAAGAATTGTTTTATCTCGCTGTCCTCAGCCCAACTTCAAGAAAAGAAGAAAAAGACTAGCCGATGTTAATTTCAAAAGGGTACTTAGAAATTGGTTGAGAAAATCGGCTAAAAGAAAATTGGCTAAAAAACCAATGGCCGCCAGGGGGCATGTGATTGCAAACCCCTAACAAAAGTTATTTATTGATCCATACACTCCACTTCAGCCTACCGATTATCGTGAGGTCATGTTTGCCGATCAGTGGATTTTTGGGCATGATGCAGTCCTACCGATTGAGCCGAATGTAAAATCGCCAAAGGTTATTCTACGACATATTTCGACTTCTGCCGATTATAGTGACGTCATGCTTGCTGATAAATGGACTTTTGGACATGATATAGTCCTGCCAATGGAGCTGAATGCGAAATCGGCAGAAAGGAAATCAGGTAGGAAAACTCCGTCCTGTCATAATGTCATAGAGATAATAGGCAGATCGGCTAGAATAACGCTTCACAACAGTTTAATCCCTGCCGATCATGATCATGATTTGCTAATAGAGTTAAAATGCATGGCGGCTCCTGGTTTTATGCGCAGGAGATATCGGCAAACTTTCTGAGAATCTAAAAAGAAGCCTAAGTCGACAGATTTGGCTAATATGAAATAAAAAATCATCTTAGGGTGATTCAGAAGAATTAAAGCTTTGGAACTCTTTGATTTGCAATCTTATTCCAAGTGATTAGCTCAGTCATTAATTTCCTTCTAATATATTTTAAATTTCAAATATCTTATCGACTTGAGTGGCTGACAACCGATAAGACATTTAAAATTGGGGGGCATTGTTGACACCCATTTTGGTAAATTATGTGGCAGTGAGGTGGCATGATGATGTGGTAGTTATATACGTATTTTGGGTTATGAAAGGATAATTGAAATTGTTAAAAGAGATAATTAATGATTTATTATAAGAGTTTTGGATCAAGTAGAATTGTTATTATCCCTAATTATTCTTATCTTATGGGAGATAAAGGAAGAGATATATCATCGTATTTTTTCAACTACGGTGAATTTGCAGGGAAGTGATATCAAGAAGGATTTTATCAGAATATGTAATCTCTTCAAAAGAGTTAGCACATTGGATATGATATGTCTTATCTAATAGTGTTTGTTTAGGAATTATTTTCTATCTTTTTATATAGTTATTCATTTTAGGACTCTTTATGACTTATATAAATAATTGTAGAAGTATTTGTTGTAAAGGTCCAACACCCTCAAAATCTTTATATTATTTTGTTTGCTTTCTCAAGCTCTTTCCCAAAATAATATCCTTGTTATTTCTTTTTCTCCCTATCTCTATCTATCTCAAAATCTTGTTTTATCTCTCTCCCTCTCTATTTCTTTCTATATCTACTTCTTCCCCATTCTATTATCTCAAAACGTTACTATAATTTATTTATTGAATAGTCCTTTTAACTAAGGCAATTAGAACTCATTAAGGAGCATTTTTGTTCTCTTTCTCCTATAATCACCTGAAAGTCAAATTCCTCAAAGAGACTGCAAGTTGACTATTCACAATTGAACCATATAATTGGTTCTGACACGCCCGCAACATCTCAATTTAAGATCGGTTCTAGCCAGCCGATTTTAGCGTCAACAACTTCCTGATACACATGCTTAATAATTAAATAAAGTCATATACTCGTATTGTTACTTGGGTTTTGATCATCTAATGTGTCCTCATTCATATTTCTATTTATTGAAATTAATACTATACACATGTATTTCCCAATAAGAAAAGGGGGAAAGTAATAAGGAAAGAATGGAACATTAATACTATGTCAGCTCAGCTTAAAGATTGCAAAATTATTTTTCTTTATTTGCAAGTCATTTAGTACGATTTTGATATATGCAAATTGTATACAAAGCAAAAATGGAAACCAATTACTCGGCAAAAGCATAAGCAAATAGCACCACCGGATGATGCATGGATGCTGTCCCATTGAGCCTAGTGTGGCTCTGTTTTAGAAAGGGGATTTAGAAAGAGAATGCATGCATCTACATGAAACCTTATTCGGTTATCGATTCGATGCCGCCAAGCATCTATATAATGATATTATAAGATTAGATTGTGAAAGGACTTTCGATCTCTTACTTATATTGATTAGATTGTGAAAGAACTTTCGATCTCTTACTTACATTGATGCTATGTTTGGGAGAACCGAATCAATGTATTGGACTTGAATCGAAGGAAATTTAATTTAACATAAAGAAATTCAATTCTTTTCCAATTTCAAATTCAAAGTGCCAATTCAGTATTTCCAAGCATCAGTTTATCCGCAATTAATTCACCAATTAAAGTGCTATGATGCTCTTTTATGTCATGCATGTTTGTAAGTAAGACAAATTATGTATCTTTTGTGCTATCTTTACCTATTATAAAATCGATAAGGAAGGCAAATAAACATAATAAAATATATATCTAAATCTATATTTATTATATTCTATATTACTATGAAAAATCTCTTTTGAGTTTCAACAAAAGGTGTAATTGTGAGTGCGTTGTGTTGTAAGCAAATTATATAAATCGAAAAATGGGAAAAAAATATTGGGTGAGCCTAGCGCACTATACACCCTGTTTATTCATGCCCACCTTGGGCACCCAGTATTTATTTTAAAAATCTTGAATGAGCAGGTGCACCATGCACCTTGGTGTCACGCCCCGCCTATGGAGGTTGTACCACGCAGGTGACACGCAGACGCTAAGGAGGACGCTGCATGGCAACTGCATGGCAAGTGGAGTTTCTAGAGTCTTCCGGAGTAGTCTAGAGTTGTGTGGAAGATTCTAGATATGTGTAGTATATTCTAGAAGTGTGTGGAAGGTTCTAGAATTCTCCAGAATTGTGTGGAGTAGTATGGAGGGTTCTAGAATGTTGTAGATATGTATGGAGATGTGTAGAAGGTGGAAGAAGATTCTAGATAATCAATCTCCACCGTTGGTTAGAATGCATCCTAGCCATCCATTAGGGATGGGGATGCCTATAAATAGGAGTAGGACTTCATTTTGCAAACAACAAGTCCTAGAGTGAGTCTTGAAAGCCTTGTAGAGAGCTTGAGTGCTAGCCTTGTACAAAGCATTCTTTGAAGTAATAGAAGTGTTCTTTCCTTGCCAACTTAAGTGCCTTAGTGTGTGTGAGTGTGCAAGCCAGGTGAGGAGAGGGCGAGGGCAACTACAACACTAGTAAGCGCACGAGGGGAGTGTGTTGGCTAAGGTGTGCACGGGAGTTAGGCTGACCAAGTACTTGCGAGAGTGAAAGCAACGTCTTGGTGCCGCACGGAAGCAGTTAGAGTGGTACTGAAACTCTAAGCCGTGACATTAGGCACTCCATATCCATTCTAACAACCTCGAATGAGAATGAGCAGGTGCACCGCACTCCATATCTATTCCAACAACATGGAATGAGCTGGTGCACACGATATCTATTCCAAGAATAATAGGCACTGCAGGCCCAAAATTATACCTGAGAGCCCAAAGCATTAAAATAGTTCCCAAATAACAATCTTCAATTTCTTCGGTTGGATCGATGGAATCAACATCTTATCTTGGGGACGTGGTGGTGGCAGCTTCTAAACTCGTCACGAGGTTGCATCCTTGGATGTTTGTTCTGATCGAATCGAGAATCATCCTCAGAACTGATGAGTTTTGTGAACGAACGAGATCGACCTCTCTTGCCATATGTGGTAGATAGATGAAGAAAGATCGAGCTTTTTGGTGTCCTCCAATGGGTCCAATTGGGAGGATGAAGATGAACCTCTAGATTGGGGATGAAATTGGGCATTTGAAGAGCAAGTGGGTACCCAAATAGCTTGGTTTGCGATCGAAGGGTTTGGGAGTGATGTGGCTTAATTCAGGAATCAGGTTGAGGAGATCTGGGCTAAAGGTCCAACCATTGGCAGAGATGAAGTTGCAATCTCTCTTAATTGAGGAAGCTTTCTCCAACTATATGAACACTGTTGAGGTATGTTGATTTGCCAAATCCATCTTCCTTTAATTATATACTATTGTTGTGTCTGAAATGAGTGTCCATGGCTGTCTGAGCTCAGCACAGCAGCCTTTGTGCTAATGTCAATGTTAGGTATAGCCACCTTGATGCATAGGTGTCCATAGGAATGCTCTGAAAATGCCATTAAGATCATTGATGATAGATATAGGTAGTATGAGAATGCAAGTCCAGTTGGAATGGATGCTCATAAGGACTGATTTCACCAATTGTAGTCTGCCTGCATAGGAGAGAGATTTTGTTCTCCAGTATGAAATTGTGTTGGTAATTTTGTTGACTAACATCGCAGTCCACTGAAGTTAGGCTAGTAGAAATCAGAGGGAGCTCAAGATATTTAATACCTAAGAGGTTTGAGTTGATAAGCTCAGTAGATGGGTTAAGGCCTGAGAAAAATGTAGAACTTTTGTAGAGGTTAATAGAATGTGGTGATAGTTTGGAAAAGTGGTGAAAGGCTTGCTTGAGATTTCTTACAGAATCAACACTGCCATGACTCGAAGCAATTTATTTTTTTATATATACATTTTTATACAATTTTAAAAATTAAACTCCAGCTTATATATACTCATATATGGAAATTGAATTTTAAAGATATCTCGAGAACTCTATGTCTTTCTTTTAATAGGAAAAACTAAAAAAAATCTATCGCTAAGCTTTTCTCTCTCTCTAAATGCAGATTCTGTAGTCTAGTCCCCCAATTTATTATATACGCACATGAATTATGCTATATAAAAATTTTGACGGATATAAATTTTTCTATCTGTTTTAAAAACCTAACCCGGGAACCGTCACTGCTGGCATTTCTAAAATCTTGTTATGTTATTTTAATTTATCTTCACATGCATCGTGACACGTGCCTTATCGACCCAACTTTGAGCCACTCATTTGTCACTTGAACCCCAGATGCATTCTTGGAGGCTTCGCTATAAATATCACCCACATTTTCCCATTGTTTCAACATTGTGTCATCTCTCTTTCTCTTCCAGTGTTTTAGTTTCTTTCTCTAGATTGAGAGGGAACGATGTTGAAAGATCTATTACTGAAGCATATTATCGAAGTCTCTCATCAATGTGGAGGATTATATGTGAGGACATAATTATGGTAAAGTAACAAATCTTTCAGTTCCTTATTCTTTCTCCTTTTTTATTTCTACTCTATTTTTTATATCCTCTTAATTGTTAAAATCTAATACTATATGAATATATGATCAGAAAGAAATTTAACAATTTCACGAATGCAATGATTTGAATAGGCACATTAAATATTGAGAATAGGCTTTGATGTATTAAATGATAGATGCAATCCATAATTTTCCTAAACAAGCAAACATCAAGATTCTTTAAATTAATACAACATCTTGAATATAACATTATTGTGTTACATCTTTTATAGCTAATATTTTAGATATGTTTTAATTTTACATGCAGTGGTGATCTGACCTTGTATGAGAGGTTTTGGAAGCAGATGGAGGAGAAAACCACAATTATGATATCAGGATGTAGTTCTTAAGTTATTTATTTATTTTTTTAATAATTATTTTTCTTAACATCAAAAAATAACTTAAGGACTGCCATCCTGATATCAAATTATGGTATCTTAAGGATTCAAGAAGAGCTATTGTGGTCAGAACATGCTAATAGAAATGTCTCCCAGCCAAAACAAATACTCTATTCTAGAATGTTACGCTAGCTTTTTACTGCTTGATGGTCCCGAGGCAAGCCTCTTTTATTTCTTTGTTGTCTCTTTTTGTTCCATTTATCGTGGACTGAAATTAGGTCTCTTCCCTTCACCAGAAAGAAATAAAGAAAGAAAGTCCAATCCATTGGGGTACGAAGATGTCTCTCTCTGATCCCATGAGCATGGTTGTTACAGACCCATGCTACTTGGTGAGTTAAACATCTTATGATTGATTTGAGTAACATGCAGATACACTTGCTGGAGAGACGAAAAATGTTTGTTTTTTTAAACTAAAATTGGTGCATAATGTGGGAAGTATCTGTTATTGTCATTTGTTGTGTCTACTTTTCGATATTTCTATTTATTATATGAAACATTAACCCCATTTATTTCCATGGCTAAAGGAAAACAAAAAATAAAAAATAGCAGATTCAAATTTCTGTGTAGCAAGTCATTAAATACATTAAGTATTAAAAGGTTATTATTGTATGTGTCAATTTAACATTCTTTGTGCTTAGGACTTGCATGTGAAACCTTATTTGAGTATGACTATAACCTTATGAGAAAGAGGTTGTTCAAAGATTATTTAGAAATTATGGTTGCTAATAAATTTTTAGAGTTTGCGCAATTTGTGGTTGGATACTGGACCAAAATGTTACCAATTTGCCAAGAAACTGTAGAGATGGTTAACAAAAAACAGGAGAGGAAGGTAGAAGATGGAGAGATATGCATGCAAACTATAGGAAATAGAAAAGTACAAGAGAAATACCATAATCATTTCTCGAGAAAGAAAAAGAAGGGAGAATGAAGGAGAGGAGAAGAGATTATTGGTCATACCTTTTGGCATTATGTTTGTTTCAAATTAACAGAAAACAATACTTCAGATTCATTTCAACCTCCAAGCCTTTTGGAATTCTCTTCAATAAATCAGGGCTGGTAGATGGTCAATTTGAGTGATTGAAGCTTTGGTTTCGAGAGGAACGACAAAATACTACATAGAGGCTTAGAGCTGTGTCAAATTTAATTATTGTTTTCATTTTTGTGTGTCCTAAATTTATATAGACCCTTTTGAGTAAAAGGAGTATGTTCAAATAAAAAGACGCCAATTTTATGAATTTCTCAAAAATATCACAAACGGGGGGTGTTGCAATGTGTAAAATAACTTAAATTTGGCTGTGTCGCACCTCATGGTTTGGCCTTTTGGTTTTCAAAACAAATTTTCATGACCTATTATGGTAAGAAGAGGCTCTTATGATATTAAAAACACCCCCCCCCCCCCCCCCCCCCCTCCTCTGTCAAATAATCTTCCAAAGCAGGTTCAATTAAATTGTGATCATGACTAATCAAAGATCAAATGAGTTGAATTTAAGCATGGAAATGTATGATGAATATCGATGTTGGAAGGTGTTAAGCACCCCAAGACACCTGCACCTAGTATGGCTACTTTACATTTTATGTTGCTTGTGATTCTAATGTCGCCTAAAGGTTAGACCAGATCTATATGTGAGAGGGATCTAAGACCTTAATAGGCATATGGATAGGATGGAAGAGTGTGGGAAATGAAAAACTGTGTGTGTGGCGTGACCAAACCCAGAACCAACCTGAGTTGCCTACGTATCTCAGTCATGTATGTCATGGTGAGAATCAGGTCGAACATAGTTTGCATACGATGGTTTGGAAAGAGAGAGATGATGTGGGGTGCTGTGACCGAACCAAAAGGTTGCCTATGTATCCCTGTTATACCGAATCGTGTGGGAATTAGGTCGAACATAGTACGAGCATAAAGGATGAGGTGGGACATACGAGTCCTAAGAGATGACATACGAGTCAAAAAGATTTCCTATAGGCCTTACGAGTCTAAAGGGTGAGATCGAAGCAGAAAAGAGGTCTTAAAAGGCATTCGAACCTAATGAGAAATGAGTGGAAAAGAGGTCCTAAAGGGTATACGAGCCTAAAGGATGGGATATGAGTAGAAAATGGGTCCTAAAGGGTATACAAGTCCAAAGGATGAGACGAAAAGAGGTTCTAAAGGGCATACGAACCTAAAGGATGAGATATGAGTCGAAAAGAGGTCCTAATGGGCATAAGAGCCTAAAGGATGTGATGTGAGACATCTGAGTACGAAGAGATGACTGATGAGTTATAAGAGATGACATACGGTTGTATCTTCTTGGGTGTGAGTCGGAGATCATGATCTCCCGTCAATTAACTCAGTAATTGAGAGGGAAGAAATGGGGTGTCTACAATGCCAAAAATACTTTTGTTAAAAAGACATTTAGATTTCAGGTAACATTTGTTGACTTTAAGAGATAATCAAAACAAGAATAAAGTTGAAGAAGATGAAGAAGAAGATGAAGAAAGAGTAGGAGAGAAAGGGAGAGAGATGGGGAAAGAGAGAAAGGATGAAAGAAGAATTCTTTCATTCTTTTTATACTAACAAGTTTCAGAAATTACACATAAGCACCCAATATTATATAAGTAATAACAAATAAGCCCCTGACAACAAAATCAGCCCCCGATTTCCATTTTCATCTCAACAAATTGAATACTTTTATCCACCAAGGTGAACTTCAAGAGGAATCCATAGGCCAACCTTTGCACTGGCATTGCCCCAACCATCAACTACCCACACAAGGAGAATGATGGTCCTCCAAGAGCTATCCACCGGCCAACCTTTCACTTTGTTGTGGCCCCAACCATTGACTAACCAAACAAGGGTCTACCACGTGGGTTTAGGACTTTTCACCCAAGGGTAACTCTTACCCTACTTACTTATTTTGGAAATATTATTTAATGCAATAACAATCTATATACCCCACAATCATTTCTTAAACCATTAAAATTTGGCTTGGCTTTCCAAAATTCAAGTTATAAATGAAGAGTTTTTCCTAAATGTTTACTGTTTAAAGTTTTAACAGTTGGATATTGATGTAAACCATGAATTTCACAACAGAAAATAATGGAAGGTTGTAACATTTATATATAGTCCAGAATCAAATTTTCTGAAAATAATCATGCTTTTAAACTCATATATTTAGAAGAAATGCAAGTGAAGATACGCCAGAATAATCAGAAACAAAACAAAACATATTTAGTGATCATCAAGTCAATATTTCACAAGAAAATATACACTCAGAGTAAAAGTTCAGTTTTTCCCACATCAAAAGTGTGTTTTTTCTAACCCAATTCTTCAAGAAATCGTGTCTATGGTGTGGGGGGTTCTTCCACCTTGGACATTCTCCACTCATATATTCCCTTTTCTCTCTCTATAGGTCTCTCTCTCTCTCTCTCTCTCTCTCTCTCACACACACACACACACACACACACATACACATTATATGATTATGTATTTATTGCACAGTGGTGTAGTCACCCAGCTTCCTAGTTCAGTTCCCTCCAGGGCCGGTTCAATACAATTTGAGGTGTAAGGCAAGATCTTTAAATAATGCCTTTAAGAATGACATGACTATATGTACCGTTGTTTTTGTGTACTTTTTGCTCCTCTTCTTAGCCATCAAATTAGGAACACAAAAAAATCATATATAAAAAGGAGATTGCCGACATCTCGTTCTGATATACATAGAATGATTATGTTAAATTATGATTTTAATGCGGTGGCCTAAATATGAAAGAACAATTCGATACTACATACTCCACATTAGGAACTTAATAGCATGTAAAGAAAAAATTTCAATAAGAATAAACTAATTGATTGAAATTAATAACAAGAATTGAAAAGGAAATTAAAAACTCAATTAATATTTTTCTTAGATTTAATATTAACAGTGATAAATATGACTAAATCACTTGAAATATTTTCAATAAAAGGTAGTATGAAGAAAATGGGTTTTTAGAGAGATGGCTTTACTTTTGGATACCCTGTGATCCACGTGATCAGATCTCTCTCTCTCTGTGGTTAGTTTGTAATTTCTACCATTCAGTCTCCATCTAGTGATCTCAACACCATTGCCGTTAATGAAATCATGTGCCATTGAGTTGTGAAGTTTGAAGATCAATTTTTTGGAATCTTAAGTCGTAAAGGAGAAAATGATGTAGACAAGTTCGGGCTGAGCCAATCCCAAGCTTTTCAAGATGCTGCCGAGTTGAGCCCGAGCTCGCCCTAGCCAACCTCGAGGGATCTCGAGCCAAGCCTCATGAACAACGTAGAGGTTGGCTTGGTTTGGTTCATTTGCAACCCCAAATGTGGTAGTTCTCATCCTGAATTCTCCTTGTCTTTCCTTATCTATTAGACACAATTTCTCCTTTAATATTTTATTCTTTAAATTCATTTCTATGTATTGCATCCCATAGTAATTATGGTCGGACTCCTTGCCTCTTACCTTTGATAGAAACTCAAATTTTTTTCCCCCCTGCTTCCACAAATCTATCTTATATATACACATACCACTTAAGTCTCATTTATCTTGTTGTCACGGATAGGCAAACTCCTAATTTCTCCCTCACACAGTGTAGTACCCCGAATTTTTAGATTAAGCTTTAATTATGATTTGTGGCTTAATTTGAGAGTTTTATCATTGTTAAGAGACTTTGGGTATAAAGTATGATTTATAGAAGTTATGTATTTTATTTGGAGACTCTTGTGTGATTAGTGAGATAAGGTTGGAAGTTTGGTGATTATGCGCATTAGGATTTAGTGGAATCCAACTGTTTCAATTCTCAGCCCTTACCTTGCCACATGTCTTCATCTTACTCTCATCACTCATGCACGAGGATGCGTTTTCCCTTTGCAAGCCCTATTTATCTTTGTATCTCACATCGTATCATACACATGTAGGGACTTAGAGAGAGGAGAACTGAGGGAATGAGAAAAGAGAGATTCGGCCATGGAAGAAACAAAGGAAAGAGAAGATCAAGTAAAGTGAAGAAATTAGGGTTTCTCTCACCATCATCTCATCATCATCATCATCATCTTCATGTTCATCATGATGGTAGGGTTCTTCTCTAACTTGGGTTGCTCTGTGTGATTTGGATTCTATTCTATGTCTTGTTGCCATGAACGTGACCTGTGTGTTAAATTGCATGTGCCTTACCAAATTCTTGAGAATACTCCTTGCTTTTAACCATCATTTTTTGAGCTCCTTGTTTCTAATATGATGAAAGTTGTTTGGTTCATCTATTTGTACAATTGATCCTTTAGGAACACTTAGAGTTCTTCGTACTGGGACTTTGTCTCACCCACCATTTTGCAGGTACTAAGGATCAATTAAAGGAGCTTATGCTGATTTGTCTATGAATATATTGTTTGATGTATGTTAGGCATTTGATGATTTGCTTGTGAATTGTTATTGTTGAAATGTTTCAAGTATTAAATGTATTTAAGTCCTTATGATTATGTATTATCAGTTGATTGTTGTATTGGAGTTGGTATTAAAGAGTATGGGATTTTCGGTAGCATTTATAGCAAACTGTCACAGTGCCCACCAGTCACACTATATGGGACCAGTTGGACTACCACATAACCTATACAGACCAATTTCATTTACCCAGTTGTCCCGATGGGACATACTTGGACCGGTCAGATTTTTATTTTTTGTAAGAAAACTGTAGAGATTTGTTTTATGACCTGTATATATTTGACGATTCTTTGTATTTACTTGGTGATTATAGTGGACAGTCTCCGAACAATAATTTGTCACTGCCTATGGTTTCGGGTCGTTACACATTGAGTAATAATCAGATGTCATTTCAATTACATCAATATATTGTTTTGGTCCATTTCAGAATCCAAACACTCAACTTCATGGTAATCAATACCTCAAAATGCTCTTAACTTGCTTGCAGTTTTCTCCTTGATAGAAATTATACAACGGAGACCAATATGAGGTTAACATTCTTGCAAATTTAGAATTTATACCCATTCACTCAAGATTGGAAGTGTGGATCTCAAAATTTTTTGGGGTATTATACTATTTTCACACTTATTATGTTGCCCTAATTCTATAGGAGTGTAGCAGGGGCGGTGGTTAATTATTCTGTAATTTCGTGTTGGTCTTCATCATAGTGAAATCTCAGTGACTCCGTGTACATAACTAAATTGGTGGAGCTTATATATTTTGTTTAGACAATTGGTTGCACTGAAACATCAAATATATTTCCTAACATATGTGCAATTAATGTAATGATTTATCTCGAACAATCCGGTAATATACTCATCGTTTTAAGATTTTATGATTAAGTTTTGATTTTATATGTAATTCAATGCAGTGTCAATTCGAGCAGGTGGGGGTAAAAAGTGTACTTGTGATTTCAGGATGGCAGTCCTTAAGTTAATTGTACTACGCTCTATATCCGTCTGAGGCCATGAGCATAGTTACTGGTTCCTCATGCCACATGGTGAGTTTTTATTTTGTTTTTCTTTTTGGTCATTATTTTGTGGGTTCAATGTCTTATGACTTTGCTAACTTTTTTTTATTTATATTTTTATCATTATTATTTCCGGTTAGGTTAATACTCACACACACCCACAAATGCCCACTAGGTGTGGAACTCTACTCTCACCTTCAATTGTTTTTTTATCTTTCTAAAGGGTAGCAAAACAGCCAAATTTTTACTCATCCTAATTTGATAATGTAATCTTGCAAACCTCCTTATTTATGGTTGTGTCCTTTTTGATATTTCTATTCGTTTAGAAATAAATAATATATATATATATATATTTTATAAAGGTCAAACTTTATATACAATCTTTGATCAGTAGAAAAATTGCAGAATCAATACTATATATATGATGATTCTATGCACCTGCACAGTTATTTGTCTTTCAACTTCTAGAATTTATAAGGTTCAAGTATGTTATAGTATTAATTTAATTCCCTTATAAGGCTAATATAAGAACTAATCTCTCGGAAGAGTTTCAGGATGTTAGAACATAAGAATATTAAGTAATTTGTAAAGAAGTGAGTTTCAAATTCAGGTGGTGTTATTTATTTAGTCCTAACCTGGTTTCACACACCACTATATTGTGTTCCATTCTCCGGTACCATCTAGTTTATTTGAGTCACATAAAATGCATGGAACAAATTAGGATGAATAAGAATATGTTTAATCATATTGTGCTCCATGTTTCAAAATTTAGGTGGGTTAAAGGAAGCAAAAAATATTTTGATAATGAACAACTAGCAACATTCTAACCAGGGAAAAAAAAGTAGTAATATTCTTGCATTTCAAAGAAACGGCAAGGGCCAACAATGCCCCCAAAATATATATTCTCTCATTTTTTGCCCATTGTGTCAATAATAGGATTATTACATTTCGATTTGAGAAGCCACAAAATTTGTCAGTAAACACTTCATTTTGTTGACTCTTTATGTATCTTGTTGCCCAAAAACTCTTAAAAAGTAGAGGACATATATAAACCCATAAGTACAGGAACAGGACTATATAAGAAGTAAATAGATAATAGAGTATGTGTATGAGTCTTAAAAAATGAGAGTTTGAACTTGAGAAGGTGGTGGATTATATTTGTAGGTTTATGAAAGTCTCAACTCTTTCATCTAATTTAAATGAAAATAATAGTGTAATGAAAACTCATAATAAAACAACAAAAATTATAATTTAACATGTTTTTATTAAAATATTGTCAAAATGTATGACATTGGCTAATCTTTTGTTATAACTAGAAAAATATATCATCATTTTTTTAAAAATAAATAAATAAATAAATAAAGTGAAAATTTTCTCTTTTACCTCTCAAGCTCTCTCAAAATTTTCAATCTTCTCAATAGATTCGTGGTGGATGATCTAGTAACTTTTTGGCAAGGTCGTCGACCTCTAACAGTTCATTTATTTTTGGCAAAATTTGTTAAGTTCTAGCATATTTTGGTCAAACATGCTTTAAAGAGACTAGAATTTGAGATTAAAAATTTAACAAAAACTTTATAAATATTTTTACCTAATAACTTAGAGTTTTGTACTTTAGTAATTAAACATTTACGGGTTCCCAAAGTTTGAAGAGATTAACATTTAGAAATCACAGTTTTGTGTTTGGAGAGAACAAGATTAGAGTTTTGTTTCTGATGGTTTTATTTTTCTTTTGGATGAATGGTACTGTTATTTCATTCAAGGAAAAAAATACTCATATAAAAAAAGAGAGTACTGTTATTTTGTTTACTGTAGAAAATATTGCAACTCATCCCTAGGACTTTAAAGATTTAAGAAATTTTTTGGTTCAAGCTATTTCAAGATTTTGTTTTGGTTTAGAATTCTGGTGTCAACTTAGGGTTATTGTTGACAAATATAAAATATTGGTACATTTTATTAAGTTTAGAACATTTCTAAAAGATACTAACTGCAACTAAGTTAAATAAAAAAAAATTCCAAAGACTCATTAGTTACAACACAATACTAGTGAGTGGCTCAAAAAATATCCTACATGCTATAAATTTCTCTTGACGAGATACTAATAAATAAATACATATTATTAATTAATTAAAATTTTTTTTTTTTCGCAGATTGTGACCATCAATGTGGGTTTACAAATGAGGGAAATGGTTCGGAAGCAAGATGGTCAAAAGAAGACCAATGTAGTAAGGTCTTCACCTACAACGGCTTGAGTTGATGAAGTGAAACATCAAGATATAGGCAAACCTTCAAAAGGAAGACCATTTGTCATAGATTTCTGTTTGATCGGACACCAACAGCTACACGAATAAAGAGTCGTCGCCACACATTTGGACCCAACGGTTCTAGCACGTCTGCAATTGATAATCACCCATTACATGGCATTCAAACTTGATGAACAATTAATATATACTTTCTTAGATTAGGGCATAAAGTTTTGTTCAGCATCAAACATCTATTGCCTGTTCTTTTCTTGTCTAAATCTTTATTTTGTTGAGATAAGCATATGATTATTTCATGAATGCATACAAGTCTATATATGACCGTAAGAGGGAGGCACAATGCAACCTTCAAATTATTTATCATAGCAGCATCAATAACAGAAATGTGCCAAACCATTCTTACAAACAGGAAATTATGAACACTCACGGTAAAAAAAAAATAAAAAAATGTCAAATTGGTAGACGATACAAGTTTTTAATTTTTCCCTCTCTCTTTATTTGGTTTAGAGGAGGATACGATCATTCTGCGAATAGAAAAGGCCTGTGCCATATGTAGATTTGATCATATCCAAAAGAAGAGGAAATTGTGATGACACAAACAAGGCCGCAGGTATACAGGAAAGCACAGTTATAGGAGCAAAAATCCATGGTTTCTTATCCCCAAACACTAGATAGAGTGTGGCACCGAAAGCTATCATCATAGATATTATGGATATGAATAGGGTTACCAAACCAGTAATTAATCTCCTGGGTAGGACTTTCAGAAAGTCCTCTTCTCCATAGCGTGAAGTGAGGATAGACAAGAAGACCAGTAGAGAAGAAGTGGACGAGAAAAGAGCAAGTGCATCGGACAGACCAAAGATTAAAAAAACTTTGTCGTTGGAGAAAATTGGATGACCATTATCGCCACTGTTTCCGCCCGGTACAGTGATGGCAGCTGCAAATACTATAGTGACGATGAGAGCTGCTACAATTGTGCAAGAGTTGGCTGTGTCTTTCATCCATTCCTCTCCTTCTTTGATCAACTTTTCATGTGTCTTACTAAATTCCTTTCTGGGTACCTCTCTTTCAAGATCTCGGTTGTCTTTGTGGTAATCCAATGAAAATTTTTCTACTTCCTGCATTAAAATGAATGATTTTGGCATTAAATAACCGTTTGATCAAACCATAAGTTCAGAATTGAAAATATATATGAGATGGTGTAAAGAAATTTAGTATTTTATATATTTTCTCAAAAAGTAACATAAAAATTAAATATATATGGATTAATAATTTTTTATTTTTTTGTAATAATCAAAATACCTGAAATAATTTACATATTTTGCAAAAAAAAATCGAATAAACATAGAGATAGAGGTTGTTTGCTAATTAGTTTCTTAAGTTGAGGATTGTTTTTTTTTGGTTTTAAGATATTGGGTGACCGGGCATACCGTATATTGGTATGTCTCATCTAATCAAAATTATTCAATGAAATTGCTCCTACTCTTATGTTAAAAAAAATAAAAAATAAAAAATAAAAATAAAAATCTCAATTATGAATGTGAGTATCTCAACTAAAGTACGCAAGTATAGGTGTGCGGAACATGCTAAGTCATTAGTACGCCCAATCAATTTACATGCACCATTCAAATTGGTTGAGGGTAGTTTTTATTAGTGGTTTGGTGTGTGTTTCTAATCGTATCCGATTGAGTTTTTTTTTTTTTGGGGGTGGTGTTAAGACCCGCTGTATAAAATAAGATCTAAATAAATTTTTTTGGTGGTGTTGAGACTCACTGTATAAATAAGACCTAAATAAATTCTTAGGTTAATTTCACCTAGACCCCATGAGGTTGGCGCATATTTCACCTAGATGGAGATTTGGTTTTTAACGATCACTTAGACCCCAATTAGTGGCTTAAAATTTCACTTACACCCCAAATGTCAATTTTTGGTGTTAAATGACTATTTTACCCTTTGACCTCGTGTTGACTATTTTTTGTGACTAAACTGCCCCCAACACACATTTCCTCTTCTTCCTCCTCTCAGACAATCATCCCAATTAACCCACACCATCTTCTGTTGGGGAAGTGAGGCTAGAGTGTAGATTGGCAAAGTGAGACCTCTCTGATATTTGTGAAGAGAGAAAGAGAGAATGATTCACATATAGAGAGAAAGAATGATTCACATATATATAGAGAGAGGAGCCCAATAAATAGAACAGGGGAGTCGAATATAGGTCGGCGGTTGAGAAGGTTGGGAGATCGGTTTGGCCGTGGATGACTAGCGGCGGCTTAGATGACAGCGACGGCGTGCTCGGGCGATGGCTGTGGATGAACTGCAGCTGTGCACGTTTGAGTCTGACCGGCGAGGATGAGGGAGCTTGGCGATGGACAGGATGACTAAATCGGGAGCCGACAAATAGGATGGACTCTCGGCGGTCAGCTATGAGATCGAAGCGGCTAAGATGAGGGAGCTCGGCGATGGACGGGATGATTGAATCTCAAGCTCGCCGCCGCCATCATCCGAAGCCACAATCTCGCTATCATCCAGATGGTCCCTGAGCTTGGGTTTTCTGCAACGCGAGAATTTCTCAACGGAGATAATCGAGAGCATATCACCGGAAGACCTCTAGCCGATGGTCAAGATCTGCATCGACAGTCACCAATCGCCGTCGATCGCGGTAAAGAGGACCTCCAACACGCCGTGACTTCTCTCCTCAGGAAGATGTCGATCAGCACCTGTAGCGCAATTCCAGCGACGGGGTGCTGAGCTTGTCTTTGCCATGGTTTGAGTCCGATTCTGGTTCGGATTCGTCTCCAGCGGGGTTTGTTGAGTCTTGCAGGTCTCGATGGCAGCCATCGTTGCCTAGTTTGGGTTTGATTTGCAGGCGGTGGATTGTTGAATTTTTATTTATTTATTTATTTATTTATTTTTCTTGTGGATTGTTAATTACATGCTCCGATTTTGTGAATTGGGGTGTTGATTGTGGGATTGTGATTGGGTGTAAGATTTGGTTTGTTTGATTGATTACAAAGGTGGTGGTTTGTGGGTGTTTTATGCATTTTTTGAGGTGGTGTGTTAGTGGCTAAATGGGGTGGGTGGGAGGACCGCAGACGCAGACGAGAAAGATGAAAGAGGGGCATTTATGTCATTTAAAATTAAAGATATTTTGTACTATTAAAATTTTGAGGGTAAAAATGTCCATTCGCATGTGTTTGAGGCCAAAAATCAAATTGGGGTCTAAGTGGTCGCTAAAAACCAAATCTCCATCTAGGTGAAATATGCGCCAACCTCAAGAGGTCTAGGTGAAATTTACCCTAAATTCTTTGGTGGTGTTGAGACCCACTGTATAAATAAAACCTAAATAAATTCAACATTTATTGCTTACTTAAAGAAATGGATAGGATCTAAGTAGATTTATATAAACCAATGTCCAAATTGTGAGATATTAATTTATATTTTGGCAATTATTGTAGACAAACCGGTCCAAGTTGAGTTGTAATATAAGATATTTGTTTTATAAGTCATCAAAATCGACAGGGACTACAGAATTGGGAAGTGGTTTAAACTTACCATATTTGAAGAGTTTGTGAAGAAAAGGGTAAGAACACCATTATAGGAAGAAAGTTGAACAAGGTTGGACATTCTACACATTCCATATTGGTCTGCAATTTCCGTAAAATGAAACAAGACTGAAAGAATTCGAATATCCAGTTCTGCCAACCTTGAACAAGTTCAAGATGAGTCACTGCCAAACTTGAACTGGTTCAGCTTCCTTGAACCGGTTCAAGAACTCCTGTTTGCAATACAACTACAGTTACCTTATTCTGATTGTTTCCCAGTTGGTCTAGAATTGTACCAAATCTTATGCACAAGATTTACTTTATTTCCAGAGGGATTAGGTCATTCTATACTCTATATAAACCATGTCATATACATTGGTTTATTCACGGCTTTTACATTATTATTCAGATATTATTCAAAGCCTTAGGAAGATTGTTTTTGCAGAAAATCAGAGTTAATTTTTCTGATATCTTTCTAGAACACACACATATTCGTCTAGTGAGTTTAGAGTTGCGGTGTTCAAATCCTGATCGTGATCATACGGTTGTATTAACATCGATCAGGCAAATCAGATCTTCTACATCATTCAGACGAATTGAAGAACAGAAGTAAATGCAGTCACACTTTGAAAGGGTTGGAGCATTCGCGAAGTGCTGTCTGATCTACCTGCTACTCTTCTACAAATATCAAGTGTAAGTCTGAGATCGAGTTGCTATTGGACGGGGAGTCGCAAAGCCAGAGGATCGTCAGCGGTTGGTGTAGTGTAGAACGCAGAACGATAGGGTATGAGCCAGAGTCAAAGTTCGATATACTTTGTTCCAAACATAATATATTGGTTTACTTTGGACTGCATAAGTCCACGAGGTTTTTTCCATTACAATTGACGTATTTTATCTACTGAGGTTTCCTCACTAAAATCCTGGTGTCATCTCTAACTTTATACTTTACTTTATTTTGCTGCATGCAATTAATTATTTAACTGTTAAAATAAGTAAAGTTAGTAACGACACAGATCTGTTTTAAACTTTCCTATAAACATTCTGATGTGTACGACTCACACAAATGTGAGGATTCATATTTTTTATAGGTAGCAATTTTAATTCCACATAAAATTCAAGATTGATATGGTCAATATCGCCACTATCAAAATCAGAATATATACCCAATCCATCCATTAGCGAAAACTGAAAAGCAAGAGCGCTTCTAACTTTAACAAAATCAACTTAGGAAAGAATACTAAATATCAAGAAATTAATTGAAATTACCTTATACCATTGCAATTCGCGTTGCATTTGTAAAGCTGCACCAGCTGCATTGGCTCTAAGATTGACTCTTTGCTCATCTTTCAAGCATGCAACCAAATCTAGACTACTCTTATCCAAGAAGTCTGGAATTGCTAAAACCAAGTGTCTCACCTCTCTGCGCAATTGATAAATGAGATTGAAAATGTTTTCATGCCGATTCAAAATTGCAATATGGAATACGTGTTCTCCTTTCAAATTTCTAGCATAAATCACATCAGGAAATGCTGCAAAAATCTCTTCAATAACTTCAGGAATCCCAACTTTGGCTGCAATCATTACAGACGTCTGAAATATTTCCTTTGCTTTAGAGTACTCCAATTTCACAACTTTCTTGCAAAGAAGTTCCACGAGCTGATGAGCTTGATGGTGTACTCGTTTTTTCTCTTGAATTTTCTTCATCTGTGGCACTGTGATTCAAATGAACTTAAGATTGATGGAGTGATTAGAAATACCTACACGACTACACAGGCCTTCTTCTTTTTTATTTTTTCGCACACAGGCCTTTAAATACCAATAGTAATAGTGTTTAACCGTAGTTTTATGGCTAAATTAGAAAACTGATCACTTGAAGCAGACATGAGTAGTATTTTAAATACAGTATTAGATGCAACAAACTGATGGAATCTTGGAAGTGCTTTCACATTTCTTACCTAACATTTCAGTGAGTTGCCAGAATATATGACGCAACTTCTGCTTCACTGCATGTACAACAAAAGCAAAAACCTATCATGATCGATCAAAGAGGTAGTAGTACTGCCACGAGGACACACTAGTTTCTACCCGTGGTAAAATTACTCAAATCCACATATCCAAGCCATAACCTTTAAAAAAGGACATAGATAATTAATGCATATATGAATAATATTATATATAATGTATTTGCGTAAATGATATCAAAATCCTACCATAAGCCCGAAATGAAACCGCGCTATTGACTGGATTCTCAATGTCTCCTCCGCTACTTTGATATGCAGAGTCTTCTAACTTCGGGGGAACATCTAAATGGGGGAACCTTAAGTTAGTAGTAATATATATTATTCTTGTGCAAATGCCAAAAACCCATATATATATATATATATAGATAGCCAATAGAGGAGTATATCATACATTTTAGGTGCTTGAAACCATATACATGTGAGGTCAAGTATATATTTATACGAATTAGTATATAAATATATGTATAGACGGTCTATTTGTGATCATCACTTTTTTTCTTCCCCCACATATTTGTGATATTCATCACATACATAATCATTTCGTGTATAAATAATTAATAATCAAAACAGAAAAGAAAAATTAACAAGAAGACAAATTAAGTACTAAGTGGTATACATAAAGAAATGAAGAGATCGATGACTAACAAGAGTAGATTAAACTTTGCCAGAAGTTGAAGTGTGCTCCACTTGGAAATGCAGATCTTTTGAGAGCAATCCTGTTCAGTGCTGGAGAGCTTTGTATGCATGCCAACTCAGGGTATCTTTTAATCATCAATATAGCAATATCTGTAACATATATATAGTCAATATATATTTGTTGATGATTAAAACTGGTTAGTGATGGAAGGTAAAAAATAGTTGTAATTTTTACTTACCGAACTGATTACTAGCTATTAGACCATTAATAAGAGTAGCACCACGTTGGTCCTCCAGTAGTTTGGGCTCCATATCTTTGTTGGTGAGACCCAATAAGTAGAGAACCATACTCCTTCGGCCGAATATAGAAGCGTGGTGGATAGGCAATAATTTAGAATTGTCCGCCATGTTGGGCAAGTCTGGGTTCTTTTCCACCAACAACTTGGCTGCCTCCATGTTGCCACATATTGCAGCATAGTGAAGAGCTGTGCAGCCATCTTCATCAGGTAGTGCCACATCATCTTTTGACATGTCCTTCAACAATTTCTTCACGAATTGGTTTCCCTTCTCAGACCTTATCGCTACCACCACTGCTGTTTCCAATGAGCCTGTGATCACGGTCCTTACCGCATCCGGTTCATTTTTCAGAAACTCTTCGGCACTCTTCCAGTCATCTGTGATTGCAGCTCTGTACAGCGGTAGGTATTTGCATAGATTATCATTCTTCACTACTGGAGCTTCTGTGTTTGGCACTGGAGTACAGTCGACACAAATTTATTGTATTAGGGTATTCATTTGTTCTAGTTTTTTTTAACTGAAAATAGTTTTCAAACAGGTTTTTTTTTATTATTATTATTAAAAAAAAAAAACCCCCTTGTTGACATAGGAGAAAGCAATAGATTGTTCACAAGGAACGAACGAGTTACTTTGAATCCACAAAGTAGGGTGTCATGAATCCACAAAACAAGAAATAAATTGATAAAGAATTTTGAAATATTATTGATAAAAGGTTAAATTATGCTCTTGCAATACATTAATATTTATAATAGTGAAAACCCAATACTAGAAGCAAACTAAAATATAATTCTACAAGCAAACTAATCCTAAAAATTAGCATAAAAATAAATTCTCTCTAAAAACTATAACACAATAAAATGCGATTTCAAAGCCCTAAATGAAGGTTTTCAACCCAACACCAGTATGCCCACAAACTAAAGCTAGCGAGTTTTTCTTGATGGGTCACTTCTACCTCAAAAATACGATTGGTTTGTCTAAAACGAACTTGTTGAGCTATTGGATTTTTCTCAATGGGTCGTTTCCACCCAAAAAATACTATTAATTTGTCGAAAATGAACTTATTGGACTGCTTATTGAACTGTGCATAATTCTGTCCTACATCACTTGTTCAGCTCAATTTTCGAAAAACTATCATTTAATTCATTACATAAATAGATATTCTCATAAATATGATCGCTAACAGTATATATTCTTATTATATATTCACAAAATATATAATATAATCCACGTACACAGAGTCACTTACCCATATTAGTTTCTAATTGGGAAGTAGTTAAGACTGTGTCTAATGTAGTCCACATATCTCTGACAGTTTGCAGGCTCACCAAACTTGGAAGCAAAT